TTTTCCCTACTCCATATGTTTTTTCTAGTGTTCTAAGTGCCTGCACAAAAATAGAATTATTTGATCTGGGAGAGCAGCTTCATAGCCTCATTATCAAACAGGGATTTTCTTCTGAGACTTACGTTTGCAATGCCCTAGTAACATTGTATTCACATGCAGGGACTTTGACATCTTCAGAATATATCTTTAGCAAAATGCAGTGCCGGGACAGAGTAACTTATAACTCACTGATATCTGGGTTGGCCCAGTGTGGTTTTAGTGACAAGGCTCTGGAATTGTTTGAGGAAATGCAACTTGATTGCTTGAAACCAGATTGTGTTACAGTTGCCAGTCTTTTGGGTGCCTGTGCATCAGTCGGGGCTCTTTATACAGGGAAACAGTTACACTCATATGCTATAAAAGCAGGATTTTCCACAGACATCATTGTTGAAGGTTCTTTGCTTGATCTTTACGTCAAATGCTCTGATCTAGAAACTGCCCATAAATTCTTTTGTACAACAGAGACTGACAATGTTGTTCTATGGAACGTGATGCTTGTTGCATATGGGCAGTTAGAAAATCTTAGCCAGTCATTTCAGATATTTAGACAAATGCTGATTGAAGGCTTGGTACCTAACCAATACACCTATCCAAGTATTTTGAGAACTTGTACCTCATTGGGAAATCTTGGTCTAGGAGAGCAGATTCATGCTCAAGTCATTAAAAACAGCTTTCAGTCAAATGTATATGTCTGTAGTGTGCTAATAGATATGTATGCTAAGCTTGGAAAGCTAGATACTGCCTTTGAAATTCTAAGCAGACTTAATGAGGAGGATGTAGTCTCCTGGACAGCCATGATTGCAGGGTACACACAGCATGGAATGTTCAATGAAGCTCTTAAGCTTTTTAGAGAAATGCTTAACCGAGGGATTTGGTCTGACAACATAGGATTTTCAAGTGCCATCAGTGCATGTGCTGGTATTCAAGCTCTCAATCAAGGGCAACAAGTTCATGCTCAGTCTTTTGTCTCTGGGTTCTTAGATGATCTTTCAATTGGAAATGCGCTTGTTAGCCTTTATGCTAGATGTGGTCAAAGACAAGAAGCATATAAAGTGTTTGAGAAAATGGATGCTAAAGACAATATATCATGGAATGCATTGATATCAGGATTTTCACAGAGTGGGAACCATGAGGAAGCACTGAAGGTTTTTTCTGAAATGAATAGAGCAGGAGTGGAGGCTAATTTGTTCACTTTTGCTTCTGCTGTTAGTGCTGCTGCCAATACAGCAAATCTAAAACAGGGAAAGTTGATTCATGCCATGATTATAAAAACAGGTTATGACTCAGAAATTGAGTCTTCTAATGTTTTAATCACATTGTATGCAAAGTGTGGTAGCATCAGTGATGCAGAAAAAGAGTTCAGAGAAATGCCTGAGAAAAACGAGGTTTCTTGGAATGCCATGATTACAGGCTATTCTCAGCATGGGTGTGCCATGGAAGCAATAAATCTTTTTGAGAAGATGAAACAGGTAGGTGTAACACCAAACCATGTCACCTATGTGGGAGTTTTATCAGCATGTAGCCATGCAGGTCTGGTGAATGAGGCTCTTGGTTACTTTGAATCGATGAGCAAGGAGCATGGCTTACTGCCAAAACCTGAACATTATGTTTGCATGGTGGATCTTCTTGGCCGTGCTGGTTTTCTAAGCC